GGGATGCAATGTCAATGGTCTAACGACTACGGCATGCACGGCTATGAGTACCACCCCTCCGCGCGTACAAGCATTCTTTCCCGAGGTCCCCTCCCGCCCCGAATCTGCATCTAACTGCTTTTGGGGTACCCCTCACCATCCTGAGTGCGTATCTTGATGCGGCCGTGTGTTGGGCTCCGTTATCGTATGTGTTCGCATTGGTACACGACAAAGAAAGGATTCTTGTTCTCAATACCACGAAGGAAGTGAGCACCTGTTCCTATCGCGAAATTCTTTGATATCGGATTCTGTCAGGCTCAAGTTCTCAACTGCCACGAAGTTTATAATAAGTGGTGGCGGGTTTTGTGTTTTGTGGTGAAAGTACAACAAATCGAACGGGTAGTCTTCTTCAGTTTTTTGGTACCGTACTCTAGGTTATTTCATCTGAGATCACGTACTTCTTTTGGGACAGCGGTATCAAGATGGGGTTCGTCCGGGTCATATTGTCCGGAAGATGGCCCCACTTACTAGACTACAGCAGTAGCCTTGCTCGCGCGACTGTCGCGCGACTGTGAGAGTTGACCGTATGCATGTACGTATGTATGCCCCATCAAATTTTAAACTTTTCATGCGCTCGACAATTTCAACTCAACCATACTGTACACAACGCACAGAAAAATAACACTATATTCGCAGCAGTCCTTCCCAGGAGAGACTCCCGCACCCCCCACCAAAAACAACTTCACGGACCTGGCCCAAAAAAACACACCACCAGAAAATTTGTCCCCGTTGGTATACTACGCGGTGAATTACTACTGTAGGTTCGCACGACGACACACACGCATGGTCGAGAAGAACCCAGATCTACATATATATTTTCAGTTTCGCAACACATCCACCAAAAACATGACAGTAAACAGATTACCACATGGTCTGCATACTCAGGAGTATGGATGGTTGCCCGACAAAACATTTCCCCGAAGCAACAATCTCCCCGCGGTGCTGCTGAACCACGCAAAGAGCCGGCTGGTTTCTTGGCTTCAAGAGGAAAATTTCCGAAAGGAGGAGACCCACCGGCCGGGCGCAAGTATGTGGTATATCGTACACTCGTGCACACTCGTCCACAGCCCGACTCCAACCTAGACCTCCCACGCGGAGAGAAAATAATAGGTCCACCATGCATGACTTGCAGCACATGATATGAACGACCGATCGAAGTGAACTTGCAGACAGGACCGCCTTCTTCTGAAGAAGGAAGAAAATCCCGCCGATGCTGCTATTAATACTGCTGTACTACTGCACGGTACGGTGTAATGTACTGAGTGTACATTGTGTGTGAGACAACAGCAGTGCAGGTGTGGACGTTCATCAGCGCTGCTGCATGCGAAAAAAGCCTGGTAGACGGGTCGGGATCGGATCATCCGACAGATGTATGTGGAAATTGTTCGGTCAGCCAAGGTCCGCCGGAGATGCAGATTGAGCAGCAACGACCCGAGAGACCCGAGAGCCTCCTGTGTACCGCGACGATAGTCGAAAGATGAAGGCAACTGCGATATGAGGAAGAGGAGCAACTAGTTGGCGAAAGCAAAGCCCCCAAGAGGACTGCAGGCGTTTTCGTACGCAACAGCATGCACCATGCTGCGCTCCTGAACCCTACAATTCTTGTTGTCCGGGCTGCGGTGGGTTCAGGGCTACTGGGTTCAACAGCGGACGAATACATGCACCGCTGTACTGTACTAGACTACATGTACAACAGACTGTAGTCTTCGAACCAGATCATCGTATTGAAAGACAAAGAAGACAATCCGTCGCGGAGATCTACGTGTAGTCTACAGCACATTCATGTGTGTACCTGCTCTGCTGTAGCTAGACAGCTAGACAGCGGTAGCCGTATACCGCTGATTGCATCTGAAATTTGCCGCCGAGAGGAGCGGCAAGAGCTAAAGCTGTATGTATCATCAGTGAAGAAGCCGGCAGCGTCTACAAGCGGTACAGAGATACAAGACACAGCAGAACTGTAGGTCCGCAGACCACCAAGGAGGCTACAGTACATACAGTAGACGACAGTACAGTAGTTAACACAGGGATCGAAGCCTGTCCCACCTCTTTTTCCTCAGTCCCAAAGTCTCGAGTACCTTGAGACTTCGCGCGGGGGAAAGTGGCAGTCAGCAGCTGAGAGGAGAGAGAAGGCCTGTGAGTGAGTGCAGAGCAAGTTGTGGTGACTGACAAATAATGTGTGTCCAGCGGAGGTAAAAGCTGCCCTATGGAGCGGATAAAAGGGTCAATGGAGCAGCGGATGAACTGGCAACCTTTTAACATTTCTTTCTTTTGTTCTTGGTTCTCGGGAAATTTCAATTCGGCACCACGACTGGAAAGCTCATGTAGACTATCAATATGTTCTTTCTTTCTGAGCTCGGAGAACGACGCGGGTGGATAGACTATTCTCGCTGATCGTGAAACGGCCGGCCCTGTGCGCCATATCGAGTCAAGCCACGAGAGCACGGCGGCGTGTGTGTGGGTTTAAGGCAACAGCCATTTGTTTGTGGGACAAGCAGCACACACAGAGGGAGAGAGAAATACATTTATCTATGATTGCCTGGAAGCGGTCTTCAACTGTCTGTTTTGAGCAGCGTTTACCTTTCATATTCCTACAGTAATTTCCCGAGCCATCGTGTGGAGGTGTCACAAAGGAAGGTCGAGATTGCTCTAGCCGTGCAATGTACCGTATGCATACTGTAGGTTGCCTAAGATACCACACTCAGATCGATCGGTTTCTCCATAACGAAGAGGATGTCGATATCAGTTGAGAAGTACAGTAGTGCGGTTTTGGAAGATCGAAGATCCTGCCGAGATTGGTACCGTCACTGCTTTTTTTTCTGGGGGAGCAATCGAGCTTTGAAAATCGGTCCAGAGGGTTTGAAACCTACGGTGTACCGATCCGGTGCAGTTTGCGTTTGGAGTTTCCCTCACCCTGACCACCAATAGGGGTCTAGGATACCAACTAGATGAAGTACATACATAGACTACCGGGAATTCCTCTTAGTCTAGTCGTCGTTTTTCAAGAAAGAGTGGACCCACAACGACAATAGTAAGTGTATATCAAGCGTGCTCTTCCGGCAGAACGAGCATCTCATGAGCGTCGGTCAGTTGTGGTCCACTTCGTCGAAAAAATTCGCCCGCACATCGTCGGGAGGTGTCACGGCCCTGTCTGGTCACGAGTGCATCTACAGTATGCATGAGATGTCTCGGGAGCCGACCTGTAGAGCCGGCCTGGACTACATATAGTTCCAGTCCCCGAGGCCGCTTGACCCACGTGCATACACCTTGCACTTCTGCCTAAAGGCATGGTCCATGCGATGGTCCATGCGATGGAGTACAGTATTTCGTTTTGTGTCGCCTCTGCCTCGACCCGTACTCATCCAAACCTTGATTTTGTCCCACAGCCAGTCGAGTACCTTGACGAGCTGCTCGAGCGTGGTTTCCACGAAGTGATATACCGCCTTGCCGATCTTCACCACAAAGGCCACCTCCTTCTCGACAACTTTCTGGAAAGAGTTGGCACATCGCAAGAAGCGCCGGGGTAGCGTAATGGGACCGTTCGAAAATCAGTTGCACCTGTTCTGTGGATGGGTTTCACTTATCAAGGTCTTGAATCTTGGCTTTCGAGCACATAGGCATACCAATCTCTTTCACTCATTCGCCTTCCTCAAATCCTGAAAGACTCGATATAAGGGGATGGAGTGCTCAATCGGTCATGATGTCCACATATGCCGAGCCATACTGCATGACGTCTGAAGTGAACCATCATCAGCAACGGGTACTTCAATTGTGTTTGCAGAATAGTAACGCCTTGAGAAAAGGACAGGATTGTAGATGTCGAAATGGAACACGTTTCCAATTCCACGAGGAGCTAGCTCACCGCTACTTTCCTTGCCACCTTCTTCAGCCCCTCCGGAGTGCGCTCCCACACCTAAGTACCCGCAAGAAAGAAGAACATTCGATGGGACGTGAATCGGCGGGGGGACCACGTCGTTGATCACAATGATACCACCAACCGTCGCCATTCAGGCTTCACACGAGTACGAGCTGGCAAGCAGTACGGGGCCAAAAAGTCATGGTGAGACAGAACACAAAACGCAGACAGCCGAGAGCGACAACTGTCGCCAACCTAGTTTTCACAACTACATCGACTTGAGGGGAGGCGCTGGTGCCGTGCACCAGACCTAAACCATTTGCAACATCGTGGCTCTTCGATTCCCCTAACGTATCCCGTGGATGAGGCCGTCTGCTGCGCAAAGGATGATCCTCTCATTTTGACTGCATCTCACCTCCTCGACCACCCCTTCCACCACGTCGACCATCTTCATGGTAACATCGCCCACGACCTCGGCAGCATCCTTGGCGACGACTTGGCCTTGTCCATTGGACAGCAAAACACGTGTTTGGAATCGTAACTTTCTGCGATAGGAACCGCAACCACGCGCGCATCGCCAAGCAGGGAAACGTTTATGGCATCTTCTGGAAATCAAATCTTGTCTGATCAACGAATTAAGCGGTGCGGACGTTCCTATGTACTCCGCAGAACCTGCCTTGATTGGGTCTCGTATCTCGGTGAGGCAGGACTGGTAGTAACTGCCGGCCCCTAGCCTGGACGACGGGTCGTTAATATGTTGTCCAAGTTATCTAAGACGGATACACAGTCCCTAGCACTGATCTGAAGGGGATCCTGAGTTTGGCGGCCGGGAACTACCGCTGTCGTAAGATCGGGGTAGCTCGCGACCTAGCCGACTTGGGTAGCTGCAAATGAGACTGAATCCAGACGCCCCGGCTTGGACACCGGGGCCATGCAGCAGCAGAGAACACGGTGACCACCGTGGGGGTATGCACCAGAGAGGGGAAAGGAGAGGGTCCAGAGCTGGAGGGCCGCACCGCTCCGGGACAAGACAACTCCCTGGGACACAAGGCAAGCACCGGGGTAACTTGTACGTCAGCCCGAGAGCCCAACAACGACAAAAAAAGAGGGCACGAAGGAGGAAAAGGAGGGGGCGGGCGAAGCGTAGGCTGGCTAAGAGAACAGCACGCACCGCCCGAGAGAGACAGCAGGGTCGACTTCTTAGGGTAGCAACCTGGAACGTGCGGACTCCTGCTGTAAACGGGAAGAATGGGTACGGGCGAGCCTTCAGCATCCTACACGAGGCAGCGAAGCAAGATGTATCGGTGGTAGGGCTACAGGGGACCAGGAGGCCAGGAGGCCAGGTCAAACGGAGTTCGCAGCAGCGGGTTTCCGAGTGTTCTGCTGTGGTACGGAGAAGCGTAATATCCATGGTGTGGGAATAGCCGTTAAAGAGTCACTGAAAAAGACCTCCACTTTCGCCACGAACTATGTCGATGAACGCCTCATAGCCATTAGGTTTGAGATGACGGGCCACCGTGGAGCTGTCAACTTCGTTGCTGCGTACGCCCCAACCGAGGTCGCTGCCGCTGACAGCAAGACAGAGTTCTGGGGAAAACTTGACAGTCTCGTGCGGAGGATTCCCCCCAAAGATTGCGTGTATATCCTGATGGACGCCAATGCTCGGACGGGAGGGAGGATGGATGGGGAAGACGAGGGCGTCATGGGGATACACGGGCGTGATGAGCTAAACGAGAACGGCAGACTACTGCTGACCTTCGCAGCGGAAAACAAGCTAGCACTCGCGAACACGCTCTTCGAGACACGCAAGGGTGGAATATGGTGGTGCGTCAGGGACCGACCGCTGGCGCCTCGACTACATTCTAACGCGGCAGACACACCGCGGCCGAGGGTCTAACATGGTTGTCATCTCCCAGCCGGTATACCTAGTCAAGGCGGACTCAGATCACAACATGGTGATAGCCACCGTCAACCTCGGTGGCAGGCTTGCCCACAACCGAGCAGTCCGGACCAAACCGAAACAGAAGCAGTTCGACCGACGGGAACTGCAGGTCGAAGCAACGCGATGGGAGGTGACTACGCGGTTCCTCCTCAACCTCGACCAACAGCAGGACGAACGAGCGACCACTACCCCGGAGAAGGCGACCGACTTCACCCATGCTCTCCTTGAAGCGGCGAGGGCAACACTACCCGAGGAACCGCGGAGACGACGCACGCAGGAATAGTGTGAGACCCCTGAGACAAGAGCAGCATTGGAGGAGGCCCTCACCAAACGGCGGGAAGCGCGCCGAGCGATGAAGTACAAGTTGAACACAACATCGTGGAGGGCCCTCAAAGCAGCGTGTAAGGGAGTGGCCGCAGCAGTCGAAACGGGCATATATGCCCACCTGGACAGATATGTGACGGGACTCGAAGCGATCTACAAGGACCGCGATATGCGAGGCCTCTTCCAACACCTCAAGCGATCAGTGGGGCTCAGTGGGAGACAAGCGGGAGGACAGCAGCCCGTTGCGGACGAGAATGGCGTGCTGCTCCGGAGAAAGAGCGAGATCCTCGAGCGATGGGCGAGGTTCTTCGGCACCCTCCTCAACACCAAGTCCCCCACCCTGAACCCCAACATCATCGAACAAGTGACGCAGCGACCGGCGACACGTGCCACTCGA